AACTAGCTTTTAGAAATATATAGAAACCCCATGTGCCTTAAGGAGACGCAAATTTTCAGAGTCTGTGACACATTTTTTTAAAGTATTCATTATTTTCCCAATTTTATGGGTCACCTCATCCCCTAAAATATGTTGGAGTCCTAACCCTAGTACCTGAGAATGTAACCTCATTGGAGATAAAGTTCTTATAAAGGTCGTCAAGTTAAGATGAGGTTATTAGGTTAGGCCCTCATCCACGGTGACTGTGTCCTTATACAAAGGGGGGATTTGGATACAGAGAATGCATGCAGGGAGAAGACCATGTGAAGAAGAAAGCAGAGATCAGAATTGTGCACCAACAAGCCAAGAAATGGAAAAGATTGCTAGCAAATACCAGAAGCTAGGGAAGGGGTATGGCACAGACTCTTCAGGGCCCACAGAAGGAACCCACCCTGATGACACCTTGATCTTGTACTTCCAGCTTCCAGAACTGTGAAATAATACATTTCAATTATTTTAGTCCCCCAGTTTATCATGCTTTGCTATGGCAGCCCTAGAAAACTCATACAGTCCCCAAATAACATTCAGTCATGATTTTTCTTTTTGGGGTATCACGGGTCAAACTCAAGGACACTCTACCTCTAAACTACATCCCCCAGCCCTTTTTGATTTTTTGTTTTGAGACAGGGTCTCATTAAATTACTGGATCTTGCCTTAAAAATTGTGATCCTCCTGCCTCAGCCTCCTAAACCCCTGGGATTACAAACATGCCCACTGCACCCAGACAAAAAGATGATATTTTAAGCAACACATTCTCACATCTTATCCAACTAAAATACACAATAAAAGATGACTGCAAAATCTTCACTACTCCAAAATTAAGATAAATTCTACTAAACAAGCATTAGATTGGGAAGGAAATGAAAGGCAAAATCACGAACTACCTCTAAAGCAAAGCAAAGAAGATTGTTTAATGGGACATAGTTAGGTGCACAATTGCAGCCTTTGCATGCCTTAGTCTTTCAAGAAGAGGGATGACAAAGGTGGTTAGTCTTCATCTCAGGAAACTGGAAGAAAGAGCAAAAACTAAACCAAAGAAAATTTATTGTTGGAATTAATCAAAATAAAAGCTGAAGTTAATGAAGCATATAATTTAAAAAGGAGAAAGAATTCAAAATCCTGTTTTCTGCCAGGCATGGTGGCACATGTCTATAATCCCAGCAGCATGGGAGGCTGAGGCAGGAGGATCACAAGTTCAAAGCTAGCCTCAGCAACTTAGTGAGGCCCTAAGCAACTCAGTGAGACCCTCTCTCTAAATAAACTACAAAATGGGGCTGGGGATGTGGCTCAGTGGCTAAGATCCATCCCCTGGGATCAATCCCTAGTACATAAGTACAGATACTGAAGAAGAGTCATGGGACACTCTCCCTCTTCCCAGGCATGCTGCACCAGGAGTTCTGAATCTTTCTCTTACTTTTTAATAAAATTTCTGCTCACTTGCTTTAAAATTTCTACTTAAAATAAAAGAAAAGAATGATGGCAAGACATTTGAAAACCTAGAGGAAATCAACTAGAAAATCATTTAAAATTCCAGGCATAATGGCAAATATCTGTAATCTCAGTGACTTGGGAGACCGAGGCAGGAAAATAAAGAGGTGTAGGCCAGCCTGGGCAAGATAAGCAACATGGTGAGACCCTGCCTCAAAAACAAACAAAAATAATAATGCCAGGTGTGGTGGCACATGCCTATAATCCCAGCAGCTCAGGGGACCGAGGCAGGAGGATAGCAAGTTCAAAGCTAATCTCAGCAGCTTAGCAAACCCCTGTTTTGAAATTCTAAAAAAGGGCTGAGGATGTAGCTGAGTGGTAAAGTGCCCCTGGGGTCAACGACCAGTGCTTCAACAAGAAGAAAAACTTGAACAACAAAGGCTTTTGTGATTTTTTTTAAAAGCAGCATCTAGTAAAATGCCATTTATACAAAATCATAAGTGAATATGTGGGAATGAGGGACATTGTATGTGTGTATGTGAGTGAACGGGTTGTGGAAGTATGTGAGGGTTTAGAGGTGTGTATACATGGGGGGAAATGGAAACTTGTGTGTGTCTTTGTGTGCTATGGTCTGAGTGTGCCCCCTATTCATATTTTAAAATCTAATCACCAAGGTTATATATTATAAGATGCAGCCTTTGGGAGGTGAATAGATCATAACGGCAGAGTCCCATGAATGTGATTAGTGCCCATACAAGAGACCCCACAGAGTGAGCTAGTCCCTTCCACCACATGAGGACTCAACAAGAAGGTACTATCCATGAGGAAGGGAGCTGTCAACAGATACTGAGCCTGCTATTACCTTGGTCTTGAACTTCCAGCCTCTATAACTAAGAGCTATAACTGCTCTTGTCACTGTCTCCTGCACAGACAAGCTAGAAATGCTTATGGCCTTTTAATTTTAGTGTTTGTCTCTCTCTGTGGATAATTCTGTTTTCGATTGGCTTGTGTCAAATGTTCCCAGGTATGCTCTTGTTATCACAGTGACGTCCCCATGGGCAGATATCCCCCATGGTCTCATGTCAGTCAATAATGCAGCTTGGCAAGGGGCAGGTGGTAGGCCAGAGACAAGCTGGAGCTCTGGAGTTGGCTCTTAGGACACACCACAGCTCCTTTCACTCAACATATTGCTCTGAGACTCATCCAAACTGTTGTATGTAGCGAGAACACCTTCCATCTTTCTTTATTAAAAAGAAAGATGATACTCAAAACCAACCACATCTTTTTGAAAATACTTTTTAGTTATACATGGGCACAATATCCTTATTTTGTTTATTTTTATGTGGTGCTGAGGATCAAACCCAGTGCCTCACATGTGCAAGCAAGTGGTCTGTCACTGAGCCGCAACCCCAGCCCACCATCACATCTTATTTGACCATGTTTTTCTATGTGTTGCTGTTCATCTAGAAGATCTGCATGGTGGAAGTGGATGGTCTAGCATGTTATGTAAAATCTCTTGCCAAGTCCATCTTCAGCAATTTATTTCTGCTTTTTTTAATTGCCTAGACTTAGCAAATGATGGGGAAAATGTTAATAATACAGATCGAACTGAAGAATGTCTTGTCTGTGACCATGACATTATGATCACCATGAGTAAGGATGCTCCAACATACTGCCTCGTTGTTTCACCTTCACCTTAAGATAAATGAGAATCTCAGCCAACATTTATGTGGGAACTACATTTGTTCATCAGATGCTGTCACAGCTCAGGTACAAACATACAAACATAAATACAAATGCTTCCGGGTCCTTTCCTGGATAGCCAGTTGCTACACATTTATCAGCACAACACTGCTTTGAAACAGCAGGAGGCAGGTCACAGCCTGTCTACACTACTTGGAAGCACAACACTTATCCTGGCTGGTCCGGGTGAGCACCGACTCAGGGAGGGTGCCTGAGGCCAGGACACCATGAGGTCAAGGGAGCCCAGAATGGTGAGAGAGAGGCACCTTGGTCCTGGAGGGATGGGAGGACACAAACTGGAGACCACCCTCAGAGGCAACATTGACACAGATTGGGCAGTCTTTCTCTCTGCACCTGGCATTGAGCGCCCTCTGACCTGAGTCAGCAGTAAGGCCAGCATTCCAAGGGCACCACCTGCTGGTTCAGGCTACCCACCTGGAGCCCAGCCAAAGCTCTGGCTTTGCAACACTCCCTCAGGCACAGCTCTGATCAGAAAGCTTGGCTGTGACAAGACCCGGTTACTGAACCCACTCCCAAACTAGCCACTGCAGGGCTTCCCCTTACTACATCCCTCCCCTGTCCCCATCATTTTGTCCCTAACCAGACTGATGACTCTCCTTCCACATCCCTAACCCTTCTACTTCTCTGTCTCTTATTTACTGTCACCCTCCCCATACCTCCTCTAGTTTCATTCTCCACATAGCAGCCTGAGAGGTACTGAAAACTACACATAAATCAGATCCTGCCCCCTCCTGCTTACAACCATCTGTAGCTCACCCTTACCATCAGGCTCAGTTCCAGCCAGGCCATGAGGACCATCTGGTGTGGCTGCTGCCTCTGTTCTGTCCTTATCATCCTGCCACCTTGCATACTGCAGAAGTCCTAGACTTTTTGACCTACTTAGGGTTCCCCAAATGGGCCTGGCTGGCTCAAGGCTGGAGGCTTTGCTTGTGAGAGTCACTCTTAGATGTGGCCACTCCACCCCTTCTTACCTATCCCAGCGTTTGGGTGACAGGTCTCTCCTTGTCCACCTCCTTGCAAGATGGGAGTGCCTCAGGGTGGGGCTCCAGAGACAGATTAACCAGCAACCCAAAGCCCAGCTGAGTTGGCTAGTGAGGTGCCCTCCTAGCCTTCCTAGGGCTGCGCCTCTAGAAGTGGGGCCCAGGATACGTGCCTTTCTAGGTAGTGCCCTCTGTGCTGGCTACCTACCCCTCTTCCACATCTCAGGTCAGTTTTACAACATAACCTCCTCTGTGCACCCCTTTCCCGCATGCTTCCATGGACTTCCTGTGGCGCAGCATGTGCATGTACTATGCCTGCATGTGGATAGGAGGCACCTCCCTTTTCCCAGTGCCCCATATCAATTCATCCTGTTACCACTTCACAGCACAGAGACAACTCTTGATGGGCCCCACAATGGCTGAGTGCTGGACTGGGCTTTGCATCTTGATAGGTGCCAATTCTCTAGGCTCAGATCCCCCTTCCATCTCCCTTCCTGGCACAGATTGAAGCTGCTCAACCCAAGACCCTGTTCATTCATTTCTTAGATCTCCGGGGCAACAATAGAGAGAGGCATATTCAAGGTGACATTAAGACAAGCCAGGAAGGCAGCCAGTGGCTCAGGGTCAATAGCCCATGGATTCTGACATCCCCACAGGGACAGACCACAGTGGGGCAAGGTGGGGGCTCTTCTCTGGCAGGCACAGCTCCCTGCCTGCCCTCTCTAGACAGGATGATGGGAGGCCTAGGCAGGGAGCCTGTCCTCAAGGTCTGGCCAGTAAGTCAGCAGGTAAGTAGTTAGTGATGTTTATTGAGAAACAGGGGAAGAATGGAATCCCCAAAGCTGCCAACGGCAAGAGCGGGCTGGCCAGCAAGAGGGTGTATAGGCCTGGAGGTGGGCTTAAAGGCTCTTGGGCTCTATGGTCAACCAGGCCTGGGGTCACCCAGCTAAGAACTAGGATAAGGGGCAGCAAGTCTCCCTGGTGAGGACCAGCTCCAGGCCACGGAGCCTGGATGAACTGGTGAGGTGGAATCAGGCCTCAATGCTTGAACCATCAGGGGGTGTGTACATGGGTTCAATGTGGGCCCAACTGAGGGCCTGCTCATCTGCCCAGGCGAGTAGCTCAGCAGCGCGATGCAGGAAGATAAGGAGCAGGGTGTGTACATCGCCCTCAGCTGAGTGGGCTGCATTTGGCTCAGCATTGAAGTAGCGGTGGAAGAGGCTGCCCAAGCTGTAGCCCTTGCGGCCTTGAGCCCGGGTGCTGTGGCTGTGGGCACGGTCCAGGCCCCGCAATGCTGGCAGTGTATCCAGGCAGACAGTGTCCCGGGGTAGGTGAGCACCCAGGCGTTGAAGCTCTGTACAGAGCAGAGGGAAGTCGTAGTCAAAGCCATTGTGGGCCACAAGGCAAATAGGGCCCTCCTGGCGGCTCAGGAAGGCCTGCAGCGTCCGCACCACAGCACCATCAAAGCCAGCCTTCCGGCACTGCGCCAGACCCTCGCTGCTCAGGCCCGTAATCTCGCTGGCCTTGGCAGTGAAGGGGCGCTCTGGACACATGCACAACGTGAGCTTGTCCAGGATACGGGGCAGCATGGGGGTGCCAGACTCATCACGCTCAGGGTTCTCCAGGGAGGAACGGTGAACAGCGAAGAGGGATATCTCAGCAATCTCTGGATCCACATTGGGGAGCCCAGTGGCTTCCAGGTCCAAGAAGACAAAGGTCTCAGCCCGGGGTGGCTCAGACATGGTGATGTTTTCACAGGGGCAGTGAGGCCTAGAGCTGCCAGAGTAAGAGGCATAAATCTGAATGCTACAGAGATGGGGACACCTGGACCTTGTTACCCACAGCCATCTCTCTGGTCAAAGTTCTGACCCCATTAGGTTTCACTTCCTTGCTACCCCCACTCCAGTTCACAGAGCTTTGGCTCTAGAAGTGATATCTAAAGCCTACATCCAAGGAGACTTTGAATGGGCCTCTACAGGGCTGGGACCCAGTGATCAGGACCTGTTAACTTCTGTCCAGGAAGGGGCCTGCTAGGGACCCATCCCCCTTTATCCCTCACATCTCTCCCTAGCCAGCCACACTTCCTACCACCTAACAGAGGAAAGGGAAGGCATACAGAGCCCAGATCCTAGTCCCAAGCCCTCCCCCTCCGCCTTTTGCTGCCAGGCCATTGTCTAGCCGCAGTTCCCTTCAGGGACATTGGGAGGCAGATATAGCCCAGGAATGGCACTTTGGCCACTTCGTAGATACCAAGCCTGGGAGCAGACACCCAAGAAAGCCCACACAGTGGTCCTAGCCTTCCTCCTCCAATATTAGCTCTAAACAGGCCTCTGCCTGCCTCCTGGCTCCCAGAGGGAGTCCTCGCCAACCCCACCACACTGGCTTACCTGAGGCAGGCGCTGGCCGGCTTCCTAGGCTGCAGGACGGGACACCTGTCTCCACACAGGCTGCTCGAGGCAGCCTTTAATCAGTAGCTGTGGCCCGCCCCCAGCAGCTTGTTGGGCAACCAGGAGGCCTGAGGCCGCAGGACCTGTGTGGCCGGCTCGCTTGCCACCCCCTCTCAAGCTCACCACCACTGGGAAACACACCCCGTGTTTACAGATTAGGAAGCAGGCTCTGGCCACACGCAGGCTTCCGGTGAGTGATGAGTGCTGCCATGGGCTGCAGAAACGTGTCCTCACAGGTACAAGGAAGCTGGAGTGGGGCAGAAGGCTGTGCCCTCTACTTAGTCCTGCCTATGAGTCTGATGAGGGTCAGGCTGCAGCTACCAGGTCCGGCAGACCCAAGTTTGATGCCAAGCCCCATGATGGACATGTCACACAGACTTGTCACCTTCTCCAGGCCTTGGTTTCCCCATCACTGGGGACCAGGCTGTCCTAATGTGACCTCAACAGTGAAACAGGCACCCACATATCTCACTCAGCCTATGAAGAAGAAGGGGTGCTAAGGACAGTCTTGGGTCACCCTAATGACCAGGGGTGGCCTCAGGGATGTGCCCAGTATAGACACTGCCTGGCTTTTACTCACCCACCTTGTGGGTTCATCTTCCATTAGGAAGGGGAGTGGGATGTTTATCTGCTCCAGGTTGAAATGACCCATGATGTCTAACAAGTATTGAGCAGAGGCTGCCAGGGAGGGAAGAGGTGAGGCAGGAGCAACTCTGCTGGGCTGGAGAAGTGGTTGGGCCTGGCCCAGCAAGCCCCATGGGCTGTGCCTGTACAGATTCTTCCACTTATAGGAACACTCAACATGGTGGGGGGCGGTAGGGGCTAGGTGGCCCCAGGACTACAGAATAGGAGTAAAGCCCAGCTCCTGGGATCCCTTTTCCACCTGGCTCCAGATGAAGGGCACCATCAAGATGGGAGGATGGCCAGAGAACCATCCCTGGTCCAGGAAGCGTGTAGAATCCCAAGAACCTCATTCCAGAGCACCACATGCCAGCATTTGGCAGTGGACACACTACAGGTCCAATCTCCTGCTAGGGGAATAGGGAGGCCATCAGGATGCTGCTCTCTGCCCAGTGCAAACCCTCACGTGTCCTTTGACCTGCAAGGCAGTCAGTTCACCCAGACAGTGGTGAGCACGGGTCTGCTTGTCCTCCCACAGCAGCAATCTAGGGGCCACCCCAGGTGATAGCAGGAGGGGGCCTGGTGCCTGGTTCCCTGGTGCTTCCTTGCCTCAAGTGCCCAGAGGGGAACTTGGGAGAGTAAAGGTGACGGTGCAGGGAGTTGAGTAGGCAGAGCAGCCTCAGGCAGGAGGGAGCCCCCTCCCTCAGGCCCCACCAGTCCTTCCTGTTCCCATGCTCAAAGGGAGGGAGGTGTCTGTGACAGGCACACTGCTCAGAGAGATACTGGGTCATCTTGGGAAGCCCAGAGAGCAGCTTCCTGGACAACCAGTCAGGCCACATCAAGAATTCCTCAATAGATGCTGAGCACCCTGGGAGGAAGCAATAGACAAGCTGTCTCCCAGGCACATGATGAGGGCTCCTGAGGGGCTATGAGAAGTGCTCACACAGGAATGGGGACAGGCCAGGGGTGGCAGGGAGAGGGGTGCATGCATGGTGAGTGGAGGCCTTGGCTGGGCACAGCCAAACTTAACCAGGCAATGACAGGAAGGAGTGAAGGCAACAGGCGAGGGGCAGGGCCCACGCCCACCAGGCATAGCCAAGTTTAAGCAGGCAATGATAGGAAGGAGTAGAGGCAGGGCCCAGGCCCACCAGGACAGCAGACCCCAGACCTGTGATACTAGGGACAGGAAGGGAGCTCAGTAGCCCAGGCCAGAGGGGAGACAAGGGACCCAAATGGCAGAAGCAAAGAGCAGGCTGGAGGCAACTTCTTAAGAGTCTGAGGATTCCTTTCTTTGTAGCTCAAACAGCCCTGGCCTTCTCTGCCCTCCCACCCACCCTCCAAAGAAGCTGAAGGCACCCAGCAAATAAATGGAGGCACAAAGGGTACTGGAACCACTTCTCCAGCAAGCGTGCTGGGAGGGCCTCCTGCTCCTGCATTATCCTGTGCCTTTTTGCAGACTGTTGTTGAAGACCTTATACTTCTGGGTTAGTTCATCCATTTTGGTGGCTGCAGAGGAAAGAAAAACACAAACAGAAAAGTGAGTCTAGTGCTTCTGGGCCTGGAAAAGGCAGTGTTGGGCAGCAACTGCCAGGATCGCCTCCTGGCTCCCACCTGAGGCCCGCATCCTCCCTCTCAGACATGACTGAGTGGCAGGGAGGGGGCCCCACCTGGCCCCCATGGGGCTTGAAACCTAGGTGCCAGTCTTAGTAGCTACTGTGCCCAGAAACTACTGTAAGTGCCAGGCAAGCAGCTCAGAGTCCTGGGCTGGGTCACACTGACTACAGCATGGAGCTGAGGCTCAGGCCAGTCACAACCTTGCCCCTGTCCACCACCCCAGAGCCCAGGGGACGCAATGCAGTGAGAAGCCAGGGCTTGTTCTGACTGATGATGATGTGTCTATTTTAATCAGATGAATAATGTGTGTGCACAGTAACTAACCCAGTGATATGGAACAGCCAGCTCTAAGACCTTAGCTGAAGAGCTCCTGTCTCTGCTGCCCACCCCACCCTGCAGGGAACTACACTCACTACATGAGCTACCCAGCTTGCCCAGGAGGGAGGGGCTGTAGCTGATGTACCCAGTAACTGTATAGGCCTCCCCAGCCATCAGCTTCAGTTGCCCTTTCCCACCCAGAGCTAAGTTCTATCTTTGAGTTTTCCTAACTTAAACACAAACCTGTTTCTTCCTCTACCAATCTGACTCCCCACCCCCACCTTCTCCTTGGGAGGACATCCCACCCTCAGCTATACTTTGCCTTGCACATTTCAAGGTCATTAACACAGACATTAGGTCCAGTGATGACCTAAATTTGTCATCCTCTGCCCATCCCAAGGGTGGGTCTGGAGCTCAAGACTCATACATAGGTGTGCCTGAGTGGAAGACTTCTCCTTCCAGAGAGGGGATGTGCTTGGCCACTCTGAACCTTGCCCTGAGGACCCTTCCCAATTGCCGCCAGTACTTCCAGGGCATGCCAGTTGAGAGGGCTTCCTGTGGCAATCCACTCCTCTCTGCAGATGGTGTTTTCCCAGATTCCAACCTGCCTTTAGTTTGGGTGGCATCTGCCTTTATCAAACCCTGGCATGTTTCCAGCTGCTTTGCCTTGCTTTTTTCCGAGGAGCTTGGCTATGTCCAGTATCCGAGGCCCTAAGCCACCTACCTGGTCCTTACATTTTTAGTGGAGGGGGGATCTAGGGATTGAACCCAAGGATGCTATCCCACTGAGCTCCATCCCCAGCCCTTTTTAGTTTTTATGTAGAGACTGGGACTCAGTAAGTTGCTGAGGCTGGCTTTGAACTTGTGATCCTCTTGCCTTAGGCTCCAGAGTCACTGGGATTACAGGCGTGTGCCATTGTGCCTGGCCCTTGTAAGATACTATCATCTGGCCCCCATGGCTGCTCCGGAGGCCCTGCTTGAGCTTTCTCTCTGGAAGCTTTGCCCTCAGGTCGCTGGTCCTGGCACTCCTGATGGCATGGATCCTGGGCTGCATGTTTTGGGTTCCATCTGCTCTGGACTTGGTGTGGAGACTGACCCACTTCACTTCTGCCCACTCAAGGCTTCCCTTCCTCTCTGGCTCTGGAGACAGTTGGCCACCTCCATCCAGCCTCTACCTCTCTGAGCCTCATACTCATTTTCTGGCTCCCCCCCTCCACTCTTAGACATGTGCTGCCCGTTTGCCTTTCCTCACTGCTAGGTCTTCATGTTTGGGTGTCACATTGAGCAAGCTCAGTCTCGTCTCTGAAGTTCTGCAAGTCAGATTTCCTGCATGCCCAGGCCTCGTCTCTTCCTGGTGCTAGTGTTCATCCCCTACCCTGGATAGTTGCTGGGCTGGGGAGAGGAGCCTGGGTGGCAGGCTGCCCCTGTGCCCCACCCATATCCTGGCTCCATCATTTTTTTTCACACCAGGACAGGCTAGAATCTTGCTGGGGGGCATCTGCCTATGTAGCTGTCCCCTCTCTATAGGCCTGCTTCACCTGCTTTACTTCTAGAGCAGCCAGGCCCTGGAACCACTGTGGCAAGTTCCACCAGGCAGACTAGCTCCCCAAGCACTGCTGCCTTGGCTGTCCTGTCCCTGCAGCTTCCCCAGGCATGGCATCAGGCAAATGGCTCCCACTCCCTTCCTACTATCTATAGCTGTAAACATCTTTCTTGTATTGGGGTCATTGACACACTCCCTCATTGTCAGCACTGACAGTGTTGCTTTGTCTTCTAAATGTGACTTCATGGTAGTTCCATTCACAGCAGGTGCACCTCACACAAACCCTCACTTCATACTCCAGGACATGTCACCAACACAGCTCAGCTACTGGCACCCAGATTGGTAGGGGTAGAAACAAAAATCCTTCCAAGAGGTGGGGCTTGAGGAGGTTGAGACCAAGGCCCTAATGTGCATGCTGGGGGACAGATGAGAAGTAAAGGACCATTCCAAGTGCCCTTTGGCATGGATATGATACTGGCTCCTTTCTCTGAGCATGTCTAGAGTCTAAGAACATGTCTTAAAGTAAATCAGAAAGCAGCATGACAAGAGCTGTCAGGAGCCCTGGCTTTGAACCCCAAGGCTGCTGAGAGCTCAAGGGTGAGCAGCCACCTCCCTGCACTGAAGTGTGGGGCCAGGGCCAGCACTGTCTGGTTCACACAGCCTAAACATAAAGAGTGCCACTCTGAAAAGCCACACCTATTACCAGTCCTGTTGTTCCCTGGTGACCAGTGAAATGGCATACTGTTAAGCATACTAGTAATCATTATTATAATAATGACAGTATAGATTATAAGCATTTTACTAACAGCAATTATACAGACTGCGGCAAGAGTCAGAGTGACAGTGGTGATTAGGATAAATGCTATAATAAATTTTAAAATGGAGGATTCAGTTGCCATTCAATCAGTATGAATAGACTCCTAAGTGTCTGGTTTACATGTGGCAGGTGAGTGCCAAGGACAAGAGCGGCAAGAAGGCCAATTGTCAGAGCAGAGAGCCAGCTGGAGAGTTCATCCATTGACAGTCTTGGGAGGGGGCTCAGAGGCTACTGAAGCCACTACTTGGGGACACATTAGTGGAAAACATTCACAGACAAAGGCTTTGGTTGGTGCTGCCTGAGGTGATGTATAACAGTGTGGCAAACAAAAGACTAATCAAAAGACCTGAAAAGAAAGACTAAGGAACAAGCTTGTCCACAGCACTCTGAAAAGCTCTTAATAGTCTTCAGAAGGCCATGTGAATGACCAGGGGAGACCAATGAAAGTCCTTAGCTCTTCCTTCCAGTTGATCTTGAGGCCCAAAACCAGAAAAAAGTAGAGAAGGAAGATTTGTCAACTGCCTGGCTAAATATTGATGAAAAACAGAAATCTGCAGATCTAAAAGTCCAAAGAGCTCCAAATCAAATAAACTCAAGGTGACCCATACCAATACACATCATAACCAAACTGTCAAAATTCAGAGTCCAATACAATTATGAAAAAAAGAAAGTGAAGAAGCCAAGCATGGACACACACCTGTAATCCCAGCTACTCCAGAGGCTTAGCAACTTAGCAAGACCCTGTCTTAAAGTTAAAAAAAATTTAAAAATAATAAAAAGGTCTGGGGGTATATCTCAGTGGTGGAGCATGCCTGGGTTCAATCCCCAGCACTGCAAAACAAAAAAAAAAAAAGAATGAAGACATTTCTCACATAAAAGGATTCTCAATAAAATTAAAATCTGAGCCAGACGTGGTAGCACACACCTGTAATTGCAGCACTTCAAGAGGCTGAGACAGAAGGACCGTGAGTTCAAAGCAACGTGCTATGCAACTCAGTGAGACCCTGTCTCTAAATAAAACACAAAATAGGGCTGGGGATGTGGCTCAGTGGTCAAGTGCCCTTGGGTTCAATCCCTGGTATCTCCTGCCAAAAAAAATTAAAATCTGGTTTCATATCAAAACCTATAGAGGCCAGCCAGCCAGGCACGGTGGTGCACACCTGTAATCTCAGCAGCTTGGGAGGCTGAGGGAGGATCATGAGTTCAAAGCCAGCCTCGGCAGCTTAGTGAAGCCCTAAGCAACTCAGTGAAACCCTGTCTCAAAATAAAATTAAAAGGGCTGGGGATGTGGCTCAGTGGTTATGTACCCCTGGGTTCAATCCCTGGTACCCCCCAAAAAAATGTAGTATGTGGATGAACCTTGAAATCACTATGCCCAGAGAAAGAAGACAGAAACAAAAGACCACATATTGTATGATTCCATTTACAGGAAATATCCAGAAGAAATAAATCCATAGAGATATGTTGAGAGCCACAGCCGAAGGGGCCCCAGCAAACTTCCAGCTGCCAGCAAACTTCCAGCTGCCGGCTGGTGATTGGCTCACAGCGGCCCCAGCAACATCTAGCTGATTGGCTCCTCGGTCCCAGCAACATCTAGCTGATTGGCTCCTCTGCGGTGATGCTCATTGGACTGTTTCCCTGCCCTTTCAGACCACGGAGCTGCTCATTGGGGGACTTTTTTGGCTCCGCCCACGTGACCCAGCCAATGAGCCTCAAGAGCAGGAGGATTGTGGGAGGTGAAAAGAAGCTTGTGGGGGGAGAGACAGGCTTGTGGAAAGCCGGTGGTGGCAGTTGAGGCTCTGAGGATTTTTCCTGAGAGGCTGTTTTGTTTGGCGTGTGTGGTTCTAAAAATAAAGTTAGTTTCTTTTAACAAGTGGCTTCTGATTGTGCCCAGCCAGACTGCGGCAGAGATAGACAATGGATCAATGGTTGGCTGGGGCTAGGGGTAAATGAGGACTGACTGCTAATTGTATGGGGTTCCCTTTCAGAGTGATGAAAATATTGTAGACTCGGATAGTAGTAATGATTATGTGATTCTGTGAATATCCTAAAAAAAAAAAAAACAACTGGACTGTACAATTTTAAAAGGGTGAATTTTATAAATTTATAATAATTTTATAAATTTATGAATATATATAATTTTATAAATTTATTTATATAAATTTTACCTTAGTTAAAGCTGTTACTAAAAATAGGGCTGGGGTGTAGCTCAGAGGTAGAATGCTCTCTCTCTCTTTTTTTAATATTTATTTTTTTTAGTTGTAGTTGGACACAATACCTTTGTTTTATTTATTTATTTTTTTATGTGGTGCTGAGGATCGAACCCAGGGCCTTGCACGTGCTAGGCGAGCACTTTACCACTGAGCCACAATCCCAGCTCTTGAATGCTCTCTTAGCATGCATAAGGCTTTGGGTTCAATCTCCAGCACAAGAAAGAAAAGGAGAGAGGAAAGGAGGGAAGAAGGAAGGGAGCACTGATAGAGATAAAGAAACTATCTTTACCTTTTTTTGTTGAGTTTATTTTGACTTTTATTTATTTATATTTGATACTGGGGATTGAATCCAGGGGCGTTTACCACTGAGCCACATCCCCAGCCCTTTTTATATTTTATTTTGAAGCACGGCCTCAATAAGTTGCTTAGGGTCTTACCAAGTTGCTGAGGCTGGCTTTGAACTTGTGATGCTCCTGTCTCAGCCTCTAAAGCCGCTGGGATTACAGGCATCTGCCACTACACCTGCTGCTTTGACTTTTTTTTTTTTTTGTACCAGGAATTGAACCCAGAAATGTTTAACCACTGAGCCACATCCCCAGCCATTTTTTAATGATGTTATTGTATTTTTATACCTTTATTTGTTTATATTTAAGTGGTGCTGAGGATCAAACCCAGTGCCTCACACATGTAGGCAAGCACTCTACCACTGAGCTACAGCCACAGCCCCCAACCCCCCAGCCCTTTTTCAATATTTTATTTAGAGACAGGGTCTTTTGTTTTTTTTATGTGGGACCAGGGATTGAACCCAGAGCCTTGTGCATGGTAGGCAAGCACTCTACCAACTGAGCTATATCCCCAGCCCCTTTAGAGACAGGGTCTTGGGCTAGGGATATAGCTCAGTTGGTAGAGTGCTTGCCTTGCATGCACAAGGTCCTGGGTTCAATCCCCAGCACCACACACACAAAAAAAAGAAGAGAGACAGGGTCTTGATGAGTTGCTTATGGCCTCGGTAAATTGCTGAGGCTGGCTTTGAACTCACAATTTTCCTGTCTTAGCCTCCCAAGCTACTAGGATTACAAGCATGCACCACTGTACCTGACATATTTTCTAATCTTGTTAAATATGGTGCTGATACAAGGATAAAAAGAAAACAGAAATAGAAAAGAATAGAGAACCCAAAAATCCATACATATGGACACTAAATAACTAACAGAGGCAATGGTACTGTAGACCAATTGGGAAAGAGTGGATTTCCATTAAATGGTGCCAAGACAAATGTGTATCCTTATAGGAAAAAAATGAAATTAGATCCCCACCTCACACCACATTCAAAGATCAACTCTGGGAAGATTACTAACCTCACTATTGAAGGTAATGCTATAAATCTTTTGGAAGATGATAGCTGAAATAGGAAAGTATTCTTCAGTGAGAAACAAAAGCTATCCATGAGAGCCGGGCATGGTGGTGCACTCCTATAATCCCAGCAGCTCAGGAGGCTGAGACAGGAGAATTGCCAGTTCAAAGCCAGCCTCAGCAAAAGTGAGGTGCTAAGGAACTCAGTGAGACCCTGTCTCTAAATAAAATACAAAATAGGGCTGGGGATGTGGCTCAGTGGTCAAGTTCAATCCCTGGTACCAAAAAAAAGAAAAAAGATATCCACGAGATATTTTACATTTGAGAAATTGTATCTATAATACAAAAAGGGGTCAAATCAAGGAGAAAAAGACAAATCAACCCAATATAAAAATGAATAGTTAAACAGGCACTTCACATGAGAAAACTTCAATGGTAAATAAATGCATGAAGTGGTAGCACACACCTATAATCCCTGAGATTTGGAAGGCTGAGGCAGGTGGATAGCAAGTTTGAGGCCAGTCTCAGCAATTTAGCCAGACCCTGTCTCAAAACAAAAAATGAAAAGGGCTGGTGATGTAACTTAGTAGTACAGCATCCTTGGGTTAGGTCCCCAGTACCACAAAATTAATTAATTAATTAATTGGAAAAAAGCAATAAATAGGGATGGGGATGTGGCTCAATATAGCACCACTGGGTTCAATCCCTAGCACTGCAAAAAAAAAAAAGTATGAAAAAGCACAATCCTGTTAGTAAATAGGGAAATGCAAACTAAAGCTGCACTGAAAGGCCACTACACACCTACCAAATAGCACCCATCACCAAGGCAAAACATGGCAAGTACTGATGAGACATGAAGCAATGAGATGGCTCGTGCATGGACCAGCAACATGGCAAGGTGGAGAATTCTACTCCAAGGATGACATCTTGGAGAAACTGGCAAGTGTATACAGGGAGATTTGTTCAAGAATATTCATGGCAGCATTATTCACAAGACCCCCAAACTGAAAGAACCCACATGTCCAGGAAGAGCAGACACCGTGTCATGTAGGCAGGTGGCACACTATACAGCAGGAGTCAACAAGGTATAGACCACCTGCTTTTTTTTTGTGGTGCTGGGGATTGAACTCAGGCCCTTGTGCATACGAGGCAAGCACTCTACCAACTGAGCTATATCCCAGCCCCACCTATTTTTATAAGTAAAAGTTTACTGAAATAGCCACATTCATTCATTTATGCATCCCAGAGAGCTGCTTTCTCACTAGCAAAGCAGAGAAGAGGAAGTGTCACAGAGACCATGTGGCCTGCAAGGTTGCAAATATTTACTATCTGGTCTTTTACTGAAAAAGCTTGCTGGCCTGTGCCACATGGCAATGAAATGAGCAGATTACAGACACAGACGATGTAGATAAATCTCACAAAGAATTATTACTAAGGTCAGCAGTGACCTTGAGGGCACATCACAGCTACATTCTGTTCTCCACCTGGGTCACCACACCATTGTCCTAGAAATCATCAATTTGGGTTTGATATAGCACAGGGAAAATATCCAAACCAGTTGATCATTATGGATCTGAAAAATGAGACTCTTCCCAGAATGCTATTTTTCTTATTCAAAAACAAACAAAAAAGCTTTTCTGACTGTATATTTCCATAATTAAGAAAAATTTAGAAAAAAAAAAAGTTTAATTAAAATTAAATTCAGCTAGGCACAGTGGTGTACACCTATAATCCTAGTAACTGAGGAAGCTGAGGCAGGAGGATCACAAGTTCAAGACCAGCCTCAGCATCTTAGCAAGGCCCTGTATCAAAATTAAAACAACAAAAAAGGCTAGGGATATAGCTCAGTGGTAAAGCACTCAATTTCCAGCACCACAATAAATAATACATACACACAGATACAAACACAAACACAAACAGAAGGATAAACAAACTGATTCCAACACAAAGAAAAATCAATGTCCATATCCTGCTCATTTCCTTCAAGGATTTCTTCTAGGTTTTCCTTTAACATATTATAGTATGCATTCCCTCATGTCATTGTAACTAACTCTTTAAACAATAATTACTGTCCCACCATACAGACATTATTAACAAAGCACTACCCAACATTAGAACTCTACATTATTTTTATATACGATAGAAAATAATGAAAATGATTTGCAGACTCAGTAATAGAAAATGTTTAGCAAATTACAGCAAATGCCTGAGTGGAATAGTATTTGATAAGTAAAAATGTTTTCTAGGGCCAGGCAGGGTGGCACATGCCTGCAATCCCAGTGGCTCAGGGGGTTGAGGCAGCAGGATCATGAGTTCAAAGCCAGCCTCAGCAAAAGCAAGGCACTAAGCAACTCAGTAAGATCCTGTCTCTAAATAAAATGCAAAATAGGGCTGGGGATGTGGCTCAGGGGTCATGTGCCCCTGAGTTCAATCCCTGGTACCCAAAGGAAAAAAGAAAAGTTTTACTAGGAAAACTGGAAAAAGGCATATAAAATGAAGTTAAAGGAAACAAATAACTCTATATGTAATGATTATACTTAAGTTATAAAAAATTAAAAATGACAATAGGAGAAAGAATAGCAGGAAACAGACTCCAAACAGTAACACTGACCACCTCTGGATTGTCATTATACCTCTGTACATCTCTGGATTATCCCAATTTTCTATTATGAATGTTTTTATTTTATAATCTGTTGAGAGTATTTTTTTTCTCCAGGGAAGGAAACATGCATTAGAAAAAGAAAAGACGAAAGGGCCAGTCCCCAAATGCTCCCCAAGGACTAGTAGAGTCCTGAGCCAAGTGAGTGTTGGGTATGCATTGGGACACCTACCCCCATTCCCCGTCAGTGGCAGTCACATACCTAGAATCATCACGGAGCTGCTGCTTCCCCAGGAAATCTGCTCGTCCTGCTGCTTCTTCACCATCTCCACAGCTTTTGCAGAGGTATTAGTCACCTCCACAACTGCTTTCAACAGCTGGCACGGGAAGAGAGAGATGCAGGCACTGTGTTGCTGCTCTGACCCGGAGATGGTATTTCCTGTTTCCCATGCAAACCCACCCTCAGCAGGTAGCAGTCACCCCAGAAATAGCCAAGGACAAGGGGCAGAACTCCCACCCAGAGAATAACCAATCAAACCTAAGTCTTCTTCCTCCTGGCCTGGTGGGGATACTACACAATCATGTCACTCTGGCAACCCTCAGTGCTCAGTGACACGCCAGCATTGTGTGACATCCCAGCCCAAGCAAAGCAAATGGTAAAGTAGGAAAAGACATGTCCCAAGGGAAAAAAGGCCTTTCTGATGAGAGGACACAATGCCCTAACTGTCCTGCTGGGGGTCTCCTGGCCAGGCTGGCCCAAGTGTTGGAAGTCTTAGAACCTTACTGTTAAAACCCCAAAATAAGCTTGGCATGGTGGTACACTCCTGTAATCTCAGCAACTCTGGAGGATGTGGGAGGACCACAAGTTCAAGGCCAGCCTCAGCAACTTAGGGAGACCCTACCGCAAAGTAAAAAAATAAGGAAAAACAAAACAAACAGAAAAAAGGACTGGGGATGTAGCTCAGAGGGAGAATGCTCTTGGGATGAAAGAAAGGAAGAAGGAAGGGAGGAAGAGAGAGAGGAAGGAAGGGAGGGAGGGAGGGAAGAATGAAGAAGAAACATCATGACCCTTGAGCCAAGGTCAGAGTTCTGCACATGGTAACTACAATGATATTAACCCAGCATTTGAGGTTGGCCTAACAGGAGCCAAAATGCAGAACAAAGCAAGAGAACATTTACTTAGTTGGCATAGCTATTTGAGACAGTTTTCTCCTGTCTTGTCCAAGGTGGCTCATGGGCACAAACCAACAAGCATCTGTCTGTGTGTCTGGTGCACAGATTGGTCATACAAAATACTGAAGGCACCTTGGTATGTTGGGACATAGTGTAAAAATGGAGCAAGACCACCACAGGGACAGGGGCTGGAAGGCCAGGAAAAGGATCTCATATGGAATCAACGAAGACCCAACCCAGGCCATGTGCAGACCTCTCCAGAACCCAGTCTCTTGGCTTGGTTAATGCCCCTTCTACTGGAAGGCAGTGGGTCTCCTGGGGACAACATCCACATCAGGTCTCATCCCCTCCACTGCACAAGCACAGAGTGTCTGTTCCAACTCACCAAAGGCCCCAGGCCTAGAGCCCAGAGCCCTGCCATGCCACTAGCTTGGGGAGCCGAAGTCAAGCCCTTTGCAGTCCCTTGTCCCAGCCCTCACGTCCCTCATCAGGGGCTGCTGAGGCCCCTGAACCTGGGAAGGTGTGAGCTCTCAGTGGGAAGAGGAGAGAAGGATACTTACTTGGCTGCAGGAAGTCAGAGTCTGGTACACGGCTTGGACGATGGGGCCACTTGGGTGGAGGTAAGGGTGAGGGCGCTGGCAGCACTCTCCCAGCTCATCGTCGTAGACTTGGAGGAAGGCCAAGATGAGCTGGTGGAAGTCGGAGACAACCAGGCGCAGCTTCTGGTCTAGGGTACTAGCATCAGTCCCACCTGCAGCAGCTCCTGGCTTATGCTGCGCAAAGCACTGCAAAGTCAGAGGGGACAGTCCCTAGACACTGCCCTGGCTGGGCTAGGAGCCAGCATCTTAAGCACTGCAAAGCAGGATGAGGAAAGCTTCCAGAAACTAGGAGATGGAGGAGCTGAGCACAGCCTGGGCCCTGCTGCTGATGATCGAGTGGCTCAACAAAGAGGCCCAGTCAAGGGCTGCTGGGAGGGCCACATTTAACAAGGTACACAGGAGCAATGGAGCTCAGGACTGGTATATGCCTGGCACATGGATGCTGCCTGAGACCAAGCCTTCCCCTTCCTTTCCCCCCCCCCTCCCTTTTTTTTCTTTGGTTGGGTACCAGGGATTGAACTCTCAAGAGCACTTGACCACTGAGCCACATCCCCAGCCCTATTTTGTATTTTATTTAGAGACAGGGTCTCACTGAGTTGCTTAGCACCTCACCATTGCTGAGGCTGGCTTTGAACTCGTGATCCTCCTGCTTTAGCCTCCTGAGCCACTGGGATTACAGGCGTGAGCCACTGCACCCAGCCAAGCCTTCCCCTTCTTTCAGAAGCTTTCCAGATATGGGGGGAGCTCCACCTCTGCACCCACCTCCCCAACTCCATGTGAAATGAGCACCTTCTACCTTCTAGAACCCAGCAGGCCATGTACACAAGCCACTTCAATGAAGTCTCAGAGCACCCCATGCTGGGGATGATGTCATTTGCCCTAGGACACAGAGCAGGGTCTAGTCCCTAAGCCCCATAGCTCATGGAAGCTGATGCCCCTCACCTCTACCCTGAGTGCCTGCAGCTTGGCGGCACTCTCCTGCAGCTGCCTGGCCAGTTGTACCACCTTCTCCTCCTCTGAGTGAGCAGAGGGGCTGGCCCTATAGGGAAAGAAAGGGGAGACACTTCCAGCTGTCTGCCACTGTTGCCACAGGCAGTGGGGCACACTATGGGCCACACACAAGGATCTGCCTTTGGTGACAGAAGTAAGCAGGGCTGGAGCTGGGACAGGAGCCTTCTGTGACCCCTACCTTGGCCAGTTGTCACTTTGTCTATTGAGAAGGGGTTGTACATCCAGGGGCCATGGGTCACACCTGGGGTTCAGGAGCATCCGCAGGTGGGAGCTGGTGAAGAGCTCTCCCAGCAATGCTTCGTTCTTGTCTGTGGTGTCTTCCAAATGCTCCTTCAGGCTGCAAAGGCACACCCAGGACACATCATCACTGGCAGAACACAAACCCAATGAGCCCACAGCCCACATGAAAGACCCAAGAGGCAAGAGGAGAGCAGGCAGAAGGAAAGGGAGTATGAAGCCCATTGCTCGGCATCACTCACTGCCCCTGCCTGCCGTTGGCTCCTCCAAGAAGCCCACTCATCTGCATGGGCACCCAGGGGCTCACCCTCCTCCAATGTGCCCAGACTGTATTCTCCAAAGACCACAGCACCCCTTTAGGCACAGTGCCTGGGACCTTGGGCAGCAACCTGGTATCCAAAGGATGTACCTCACCCTATTAGTACACTGCTGGCCTCTGACCAGCCAGCCAGTCCCCCAGAGCACAGTCCTTCTCACCTTGTACCTCCAGCTCCTGGACCAGTAAGCAGTCTGTGCCACAGGAGGGAGACAGCAAGATCCCAGCTAGAAAGGTGTCCTGGACCCTTCCAGTTCCATATCTAAGAACAAGACCAGCGTGTCAAGGGTGCCCTGCTGGGCTATGGGAACCATTACCTGGAGCAAGTGAAGCATCTAATGTTCAAGCTCTGAACTGCATTCAGCAATTGGTCCATGAAGTGCAGCTGCTTCTGGGCACAGGCACAGCCCTGTACAGGGAAGGTCACATATGTCTGCTGGCTAGACCCAGGCTAAGCCCAGTTTATCTGTTTTAGATGCCCTATTCTCATGTGGATTCCTGCTGGGGGCCACTGAAAAGGAAGGACCTGGCCCACCAGCTCCCTGTCTGCACCCAGCAACATCTTGGACTGTCTCAAAAGTTGCTGCCATGAAGTGTTCCCTGCCCAGCCCCCACCTCAGGTTGCAATGACGCCTAGGACTACTCTGAAAAATGACAAATGCTGTAGAAACATACTGCAGTGTGTTTGTCACACAACCGGCTGCATGGCTTATGGGGTGAGTGTGATATGAGGGGGCCCTGGAGGTGGCCTGCTCTCCAGCAGGGGACTGGAGGTCCAGTCAGGAAGGCTTCAGGAAGCAGCTCCTGATGGGCTGACCTGATCTCCTGCGCTGAAATTCCTATAAGGAGCTACCTGGCCAGGAGTTTAAGGGTTGCCTCCTTCCAGAAAGGCCCTGATCCCCAGAACCAAACAACCTCAGAGGTCATACCTGCCCTAGAAAGCCCTGAGAAAGTAAGAGCACCAGGATAAAAGCTGGGTCAGTCTCACAGATTTTACCTCATTGTTGTTCTGAGGAGCACAAGTGAATAAACTGACCCAGAGAACAGACTTTCTAGAATGCCCTACAACAAGCCTTCATATTGAATTCCACATTGAAGGCACAGGCTTCAACAAAAGGGCTGGTCAGCCCTGGTGAGGAGACTTGGGGGTAGCTCAGCTCCCCATTCCTGTCCACAGGTACTAAGTCTCACATCTGCAGCTGCCTGACATTCTCAGCAGGCCTGCTGCTCCCACTAATGTGACCAAGTTGAAAATGACCAGTGTCTTCTAGAAGTTTCCAGCTCCAGGACCATAGACTGCCACTGGGACTTTCTTATTCCTTTTCTATTGATTCAGTCTCCCAATCGACCCAAAGGACACACTTGCAGGGCACACACACACTGGATGGTGGGACTGTCTAGATAAGAGATGCCCCCAACAAAAACACAGAGTGTCTTTACTCAGAACCTCACAAAGCTTTGACGAGTGGCCTAGGACGAAATACCACTGCCTGCTATTACCTCCTCAGTGGAGAGACAGCTCCAGGAACCCTACTCCCAATGTTCAGAAAAAGGTGAGTAGCCTATCTAGCATTCACGTTATGGCCACAGCACTGATTCCCCTGGGCAGTCCTGGCATGTGTCTCCCTATGGTTTTCCAAAGCCACAGGGCTGGCCACCCAGTCTATTCTGGATCACTAGGGCCCAGCCCCTACAAGGCCTGAGGGCACTTGCTGGCCTCTGTACATAGCCCAGACAGGTCTGCAGGCACCTTGCTGGAATCCTGTCTTCTCCCTATTCCCCAGCAAAGGCACTCTGGAAAGATCTAGAGAATGAATCCATAAGGCCTCACACCATGCTGAACCCCAGGACAAAGCCCCTTGCACCCCACCCCAAACCATCCATCAGCAAGTCCAGTGGGCTTGGCCAAACCCAGAAAGTCCCCCACCTTTTCCGCTACCACCACTATTCAAGCCAGCAACTACACACATCTGGACACTGCCAACCTACCAATGAACCTCCCAATGGCCACCCCTGCTCCACCCAACCTTTATGCCTTAGCCACAGTCATCTCAGTGATGCTTGATGGAAATCAGTGTTCTTGAACTTGAAACTCTCTGATGACCACCACCACCACTCTAAGGCCTCCTGGAGCTTACAAAGGTATTCATGGTCCTCCCACCCTGCTCCATACCCTTGCCACACCCCTCCATTCTACCAGGGCCTAACGGGCTTGCTGGTGATTTCTTAAACATAACCAAGAACACAACACCTCATGGCCTTTGTACTTGCTGTTCTCCCAGATGTTGTCATTCCATTTGGCTGGACTGATACTTTTCGAGTTTGAAGTCACATACCATGAAATTCACCCTTTTAAAGTACTGGTTTGGTGGTTGTTGACAAAGTCACATTTTAGAACATCTCTGTCACCATTATCAGTCATTTTTCATTGTCCCCAGACCCTAACAACAAGTTCCTTTGTATCTCCATAGATCTGCCTTTTCCAGACAGTTCAGGTACATAGAATCACAGTATGTGACCTTTTATGCCTGAGTACTTTCTCTTGGCTAATGTCCTCAAGGATCCCCATATAGTTTATTCTTTTAATTCACAGTATTAGGGATTGAACCCAGGAGCACTCTCACTCTGAACTACATCCCCAGCCCTTTTCATTTTTTGAGACAGGCTGGCCTCAAACTTGTAATCCTCCTGCCTCAGTACCGTGAGTTGCTGGGATTATAGCACTGTGCCTAGCTATACTATTTTTTCTTTCTTTTTTTTTTTGTGGTGCTGAGGATCAAACCCAGGCCTCATGCATGCTAGGCAAGCACTTTACCTCTGACAACCACAGCCCCAATATTTATTCTTTGTTGTTGAAAATAAGTTGATCCATTTAGATGATGGATATTTGGGTGTTTTTTCCAGTTTGGGGCTATTATGGTAATATCATTCACATATAAGCCTTGGTGTGCACAGGTGTTTTCTATTTCCTTGGGAGTACAATTGCTGGGGTCATGTGGCTATTCCATGTTTAACCTTTTGGGAAACTACCAGATAGTTTTCCACAGTGGCTGCACCATTTCATGTCCCCATCAGCAATGTGTGAGGGTTCCAATGTCTCCTCATCTTCAGTAACACTTGCTATTTTCTTTAAAAAAAAAAAAAAAAAAAAAAAAAGTGGTATGTTTGAAGAGCTTCTTACTGTGGTTCTGGTTCGAAGAGCCTTCACAACCAATGATGCTGACCATTTTTCCATGAGCTTATTGGTCATCAGTGTGTCTTCTCTGAAGGAGTATCTATTCAAGATTCTTGGCCCATGTTTGAATTGGGTTCTCTGAATGGGTTATTGATTTCTTTATGAATTCTGGATAAGTCCCTTATAAATGATTTCCAAATATTCTCTCCCATTCTGTAGGTTTTTCTTTCACTTGCTAGAAGGTGTCCTTTTGTGCACCAAAGTGTTTAATTTTAATAAAGTCCATTTGCCCTATTTCTTTTGTTTCTTGTGCTTTTCATGTCAAATGATGACTCTTTAAACCACCATTACGAACACCTGGGTTGGAGTGTATGTGAAGGACAGCAATCCACAGCAGCTACTGTGCTCATGGCACTCATGTGTGCCCCTCTTTGGCCAGTGAAGGTTTCTATCATTAGCTGGCTCCAGAGTTCCACAGACGTCACCCTAAGTCGTGGATGGCTGCTCAATTTGTACTTTTCCTCCCCCAGCCATCACTATTATAATTGGGCCATCACTGATCTAGACCTTTGTGGAGGACAAGGGAAGGGAATGCATATACACTTTTAAGTTAAAATATATTAGCATTGATACTCCCAATTAAAATTTAGGATGACAGAGTTTGACCAAACCTTCCAATCTTACAAATGTATTTCCCATGTCTCAATAATGCCAATGTAATCATACATTTGCTTCTAGTTTTCATTCCATACAAGGAATAAAGCCCTGACATACTGTGTTGCCACCTGGAAAAACCTTGAAAACATTGTGCTCAGTGAAAAATCCCATTTAAATGACACAAAGATACTAAATGAATGGGTGTCAGGGTTGTGGGGAACAGGAAGAGGCTATTTAATGGGTACATGGTCTCCTTTCAGGGAATAAAAATGTTTTGGAATTAGTTACAGGCAGCGGATGTAGTATATTGTGAATGTATGCACTAAATGCCATTTTTATGCTTTTAAAAATGGTTTAAAACTTTGAGTACAGCCAGGCACAGTGGCATACAACTGTAATCTCAGTGACTCACAAGGTTGAAGCAGAAAGATTGTGAGTTCAAGGGCAGCCTCAAGAACCTAGCGAGGCTCTCAGCAACTTAGTGAGACCCTGACTCCAAATAAAAAACAAAAAGGGCTGGAGATGGAGATGTGGCTCAGTGGGTTAGCGCTCCTGAGTTCAATCTCAAACCAAAAAAAAAAATAATAATAATAATAATAGAGTTACAACTCAGGAAGATGAATAAATCCTAGACATGGATAGTGGCAATAATAAAAATAGCAAATTTTATCTTATATGTATGTTAAAATGTTTCTTTTAAAAAGAGTAGAGCTGGAGCTGGGGTTGTGGCTCAGCGGTAGAGCACTCACCTGGATGTGCAGAGCCCTGGGTTCAATCCTCAGCACCACATAAAAATAAAATAAAGGTATTCTAAATAAAAATAAAAAGAGTAGAGCCCTCTCAGAGTTTGTTGGAAAATTTTTTAAAAATTGTTAAGACAGTGGATTTTATAATATGTGCAGCTTGCCAAAATAAATACTATGAAAGACTAAAGAGAGGACAAAGGTTCCAGTTGCAGGAGAAAACACACCATCTTTTTCTCCCACTGAAGACCCGTCTGTCAGAGCTGGAAGGCATGGGGCAGGAGTTGCAATCTCTGGACAGTAAATGCCAGCAGGTGGTCAGGAAGGAACACCAGAATTCAAAGCCATCATTCAGCCTGGTGGAGAGCTCGCCAGATGGAACACCAGAAGGGAGTGCTTCAAAGCAGATGTACAGAGCCCTAGGACATACCTACTAGGTAGTTCTGGCTCAAGGAGCAGAGAAGAGAACCCACAAGGCTCAGAGATAGTAGGAAATCTGCCACTCAGACCCCAGGCAATATGGTTGGGGTGACAGAAGTAGCCAAAGAGAGAAATCTGGAGAAGCTGTAACTCTGATGGATGCTGGAGCATTGGAACGTGCCTTTAAAATCCCAGAGAGAGGCTGAGGCAGGAGGATCACAAGTTCAAGGTTGGCCTCAGCAACTTACTGAGACTCTCTCAAAATAAAAATTCTGATGGGGGGAACCTCTGCTCCATTGAGGGGCACAGAGATAGTAGCATCAAGTGCACAGGGATAGCCTTCTTACTACTTTTTACTCTCTCTACAGAAACCACTGCACCATGGTCATGGAGAATGGGAACAGGAAGCCCCAACAAACTAGAAAACATCTTAAAGAGATGGTGGAGAGGAAGGAGCTCAAGAAAGTAACCTCATTTATCTATTTCTGAATGCCTGGGCTGAGCCCTACCTGTGCATGGGTGGATCTGATTTCGACCTAACAGCTGACTTGGATTACTAAACCAAGGCCCAGGTCCCAGGATGACCACTGGGTGGAGCACATGTAGGACAGACTGCAAGGAGTTGAGCTGTCAACAGAGCCGCAGGCCACAGGGGATGGCTGGACCTTGCTGTTTGAGCCTAACCAGGTCAAATACCTGCTAGAATACACGTTACTATTCTCCACACAATTTAATGAGACCCAGAATCAAAGGAATAGCCAAAATGTTCAGCATGCGATCCAAAATTATTTGGCACATGAAAAAACATCAACTTGCATGAGAAAAGATGATCAATAGATGCCAATGACAAGCTGTCACAGATGTTGGAATGCTCTGACAAAGATTTTAAAACAGCCATTATAAAAATGCTTGAATAAGCAACTATGAACATGAACAAAAGTTAAAACCAGAAGCATCAGCAAAGAAGCAGAAAATAAAACAACAACCATGTAGCAACTTGAGAACAGAAAAACAGAATAAGCTGAAATAAAAACTGACTGGATATGGGCTTTGGGTGATAATGATGTGTCAATGTTGGTTCATTGATTGTAACAAATGTTGATAGTGAGAGAGGCTTGTGGGGGGAGTCTGTGAGAATTTTCTGTACTTATTGTTTAACATTAATATTACTTTTTTTGGCTTTTATTAGTGTATTAAAGTCTACTTATTATAAAAAAGAAACCTGACCAGATAGACTTAACAGAAGAATAGAAAGTTAAACACAGAGCCACCACCTCACCCAACAATCCCACTCCCAGTCACACATCTAAAAGAAGCGAAAAGAAGGATTCATTCAAAAAAAATAAGCAAGGAGGGCTGGGGATATAGCTCAGTTGGTAGAGTGCCTGCCTTGCAGCACAAGGCCCTGGGTTCAATCCCAGCACAACCAAAAATAATAACAATAATAACAAGACTGCATAGCTACACTGTATACAACAAAGAGTGGAAACAAATACTTTGAAATGTATACATTTTCATGGCAGGGAGTGGGTTTCTTTGGCTAGTTGTGGGGTGGATCAGGCACCTCTGCATACAAACCTTGGGTGGGCCATGTGAGGGAGAAAGTGCATGGGCCTGGGTGCCAGGGACCTGGGTTTCAGATCTGGCTCTGTCACCATGTGACCTTGAGTAAGTAGACTGAAATAGGGCTAAGACAAACACCTAGTGCCAAGGGTGGGTGTGACAATTACTGATGTAAAGTACCTACCACAGTGCCAGGCAAGTATGGCATCAACTGAGGAAAGAGCACCTCCCCCATCCCTTGGTTATCATAAACCAGAGACCTGCCTCTACCTCCATGGCTGTCCTCCCCACTTCGCCTAAGGGATGATTAAAGTTATCTACCCAAGAGACTCCTAGCAGTTCTTGCCCTAGGGACGCCTTCAGAAACAGCCTGCCCAGACACCAGGCTGACTCTGGGGCAAGAGAACCTTCAAAGGCACAGGAGACAGAAACCCCTCCCATCCCCACAATAGCATTGCTGAAGTCCCCAGACTAGGAAAGGAAATGTGCACTACCTCTGCAGGGACAGACAAGGACCCTTTCTCACCTTTACAAGCTCCTGGTCATCCGGCGCACACAGCATCAGCTCATGGGCTAGTTTCACCATTTCTGTTGGAGCACAGAGACCCTGTTACAACACCTACCCAAACAGGGGACACCAGACACCCAGTAAGCCATGGCAATGGGGTGCTGAGGCTCTCCCTCAGTGAGTTGGCTTCTGCCACAGCAGCAGCAGCAGCAGCAGCAGCAGCACCCACTAGGCTGGGCTGAATATAGAAGAACAGGTGGACAAGAAGGCAAGTAAAAGACACACTCGGTGCCCTTGCTGTGTGGCCTGCACCCATTCGCTGCCCCTTTCTGAACAAGTTTCCTTGTCTGAAAATAAGAGGTTATCCTCTGTGCTCTCGCATGTATGGAACTCTCTAATGCTGGATTCTAATCGAGACCAGTCAGCTGCCTGAGGAGCCAACAGAGGTCAGGGAAACTCTGAAATGCAGTGTGCGTAGCCCTCTCAAAGCCAAAGCAAAAGGAACCACAGTTCACACTGGTTCACACCCTAAGGGCTTTTCATGTCTTCCTCTCTGTCATCTTGTGGCAACCCTGAGAGAGGGTATTGGCTCCATTTTATAGATGGGAAGCCCAAATCCCTGTGCAGGCCACAGAACACCTAGCCACATCTTCCAGGGTGCCCAGGGCATCTTGTAACCACCTGGAATGTGAAGAAAGGCCAAGATGTGGAGCCAAAATGCCTGGGGCCAGTGCTTTGGGAGGCCTACGCAAGAAGGAAGCAAAGAATCTGTGTGAGCTCTCAATATCCCTGGAAATGTTCTACAAATGCCAACTGCTCCCCACAAGCATGCCTGCTGTACTTACAGCCCTAAACCCACGTCCTCCCTGAATCATCTCTTCCCCTCAGCAAGTCCAGCTGACCCTCCCTCAACTATAAACCCAGGACCTGGCTAGCACTCCCCTACAACCTCTCAACTAGATCAGTCACTGCAAGAGCCCAGCACTGGTCTCCATGCCTCTGCCAACATGCTCCTATTCTAACCATAGTGAGCCCATAGAACATGGGAAATTTAATACAGGACTGTAGCCTTCCTCTGAGTAAAAGCCAATGGACTTCTATTGCCACAAGGCCTCATCTAATGTGATCCCAACACTTCTGGACTTCCTACACTCCCTCTTCTTCCCTCTACTGCCACATCTGCTTCCTGACTCTTCTTCAAAGTTTCAAGGCACAAGCCCACCTCAGGCCCTTTGCACTTGCTGTCCCTCTACCCTAAACACCCAGGGTATCACCCAGGCTCATCTCCTCCCTTCCTGCCATCTTTATGTCAACAGGGCCAAGCTTCCCCCACACACCATAGGCACCACCTTCCTTTTTCCCCAAGTCTTTATAGTTCTTCTTACCATCCCATGCACTGAGAATTTTAGGACCTTCTTGGTTTATTACCTAACATGTAAGCTTCTTGCACATCAAATGAATTCAAGAACTAGCCTAAGCCAGGTGCAGTAGCACAGGCCTGAATTCCCCATACTTGGGAAGCTAAGGCAGGAGGGCAAATTTGAAACCAGCCTGGGCAACTAAATAAGACACTGCCTCAAAATAAAATAAAAAGGGCTGGAGACATAGCTCAGAGGTAAAGCACTCATGGGTTTAATCCCTAGCATGCAGGCACAGCTGTTAGAAAGAAGAACTGTAATCAAGCTTAGAATTGCCCAGAATTTACCATCACATTCCACACTCCCATAACGAAACCTACCTTGAATCTTCACCTCCACTGGGGCCCCCTTCAATGAGCTGAACTTGTCCTGCAAGGAGGGACAGATCCTGCAGGAAAATAGCAAAGCCAGTCAGGCTTGAAGGGACTAGAAACGCACCCCCCCCCCTTTCTTAATTTTAGATGTTAATGAGCCATTTATTTATTTATTTATATGTGGTGCTGAGAATCAAACCCAGTGCTTCACACATGCTAGGCAAGTGCCCTGCCACTGAGCCACAACCCAAGCCCATAGAGAATCCCCCTTCTTAACTGAGTTATCTATCAGACTGGTGTTTTGTTCTGGGTGGTGCATACCCTGTGGATACTACTAGAGCCTAGAATGAGGGTCTCCCAGGCATTGCCAGTGGGACAGCCATAAAAGTATGTTGTTCCACTGCTGCACTTATAGGCAGAGAGACAATGATTCTTGCCAGCATTACCAGTGGTCCAACCACATGGCACTCCTAGAAGCACCCTGGTTGCTCCCTATGGGGCTGTCTTGTAACCTCTTTTTTTTTTTCCTATCATGTTTTGGCAGAAACTGTCCTTAACCTGGTAATGTACATAGATAAAGGTGGGCAAAACTCCAATCCCCAAGTCAGTGGCTAACATTTCACAAAGGCCACCCCAGGGAAGCCTGCAACCATTCTGGTGGCCCTCCATCCCAGCAGAGCTGGAGTGCAGGCCTGCTGAGGCCAGAAGCTGGCTTTCTCTCTATATCTCTGGAGCCTAGCACAATTCTGGATAACAACCCAGAGGAGGCCAGTGAGTGTGTAATGAATGAATGACCACCACCTCTGCTATTAGTAAATACTGATGCTAACCTCTTTCCAGAGATACCCTGTTTAAAAAAAAAAAACTTAATTCAGCTAGGTGCCTGTAATCCCAGTGGCTCGCAAGGCTGAGGCAGAAGGATTGCAAGCTCAAGATCAGCTTTAACAATTTAGCAAGACTAAGTAACTTAACAAGACCCTATCTCCAAATGTAAAAAAAAAAAAAAAAAGAAGCCATGTGTGATGGCACATCCCTATAAACCCAACAGCTCAGGAGGCTGAGGTAGAAGGATCACAAGTTCAAAGCCAGCCTCAGCAATTTAGCAAGGTTCTAAGCAACTTAGCAAGATCCTATGTCAAAATAAAAAATAAACTAGCTGGGGATGTTGTGGCACCCCTGAGTTCAGTACCTGGTACCAACAAAAAAAAAAGACCCATAATCCAGAGTTGAAAGATGGGGACAGCCCACAAGTAGGCTCCCGATTTCTGTAAATAAAGGTTTATTGAAGGCTGGGGCCATAATTCAGTGGTAGAGCATTTGCCTAGCTGCAAAAGGCCCTGGGTTCAATCCCCAGTAGTGCAAAACAATTAGTGAATAAAGGTTTATCAGCACCCACCCACCTCCACTCCTCTAGGAGTGGTCACAACACAGACCAACAATGTTGACTAGCCCTTCACCAGAAAGGTTTTGCTGAGACCCGCTTTAAGCCATCTTAAGTTCCTACTGTAATAGAATCTATAGTCAATGTCCCAGATCTTCTGCCCCAGCCTTGACAGTGGTCACAATGATCACTCCAGAAAACACCATGCCCTAAGACAACAATCTTCTGAGCAGAACAAGTTCCAGATGAGACTATAAGTCATGAAGTCTGGCAACACCTAGGCACTCCACCAAATCTCCTCCTTAAGGGGGGCATGGTCTATATGTTCCACCCCTTGAGAGGCCTAAGGTGCTTTTACCAACTTGGAATCACAAAATGGCATTATATTTTCTTGGCTGCTTCTTAAAAGGATTCTGTTTCTAGTAAGTATTGGAAGTATTCTAGGATACACTAGAAGTACTGGAAGCATTCTAAGGATGTGGCCTCAGCCCCCTACCCATCCCTCTCTGGCCAGCAGAGTACCCTTGTTCCTGCTGGTCCCAGCTTCTGCCTGGGCCTGGCAAATCTGTGCTCCCTCCCATGAGAGCATCCTCCTTGGGGCCTCACTCAAGACCTTATACTTGGCCAGGCCATAGCCACTAATGCCTTTCCTCCCAGGTTCCTGGACCAAGCACTGGTCCTTTCAGGACCTGCAATAGCTGTCACACAGGCTGTATGTACTCTAAGCCTGGTTTCTACCTTCCTTTCCTGTGGTATTGGTAGCCCTACCTCCAGGATTCCTCTCTAAAACTTCATCTGCCACAGAGGCCCCATAATGCGAATTTTGGCATCTCACTCCCCTGGTCCCTTGCCTGCCATACCCAGAACATGAAGTTCACAAGGCTTGCCAGGCCCTGAGTGAGCTGCACCAAGATGCCACCTTGGGCCACTGCTGTGCTCCCCTCCCCTCCCCTTTTGTTTCTTTCTTTCTTTCATTTGTTTGTTCCTTTCTTTCTTCAGTGCTAGATTGAGCCCAGGGCCTCATGAACACTAGGCAAGCACTCTACCACTGAGCTATACCCCCAGCCACCTAGTCATTACCTATTCTCTCCCAGATTAAATGCCAACTGCTCCTTGCCAACAACCACAGCATGCAACTATTATTTCTGCTTGCTACTGGAACCCAGGCCCACTAGGGCCCTGGATCCTTGAGGATATCAATCTATGCCTATGACACCTGAAACAACACACAGTGCACATGCATGTGTGCACCTGCCCATCAGGCTGCACCCTGGAGCACCTCCCAACCATGTGCCACACCATGCTAGAACCAATGCTTTGGAGATCCAGCTAGGACAATGGTCCAAGAGAACAACAGGCTAAAGACTCCAGCAGGGGTGGGTATGTTCAAATGACTGTAGGCATCCAGGGGGAAAAGAAATGATTCACCCTGGGAACAGGAGACACTTTTTGTGTTTTTTTTTAACACTGGGGATTGAACCCACAAGCACTCTATCACTGAGCCATATCGCAACACATCTTTGTGTTTTATTTTGAGATAGGGTGTCCCTAAGATGCCTGGGTTGTCCTCCAACTTGTGATCCTCCTGCCTCACTAAGCCTCCTGAGTCACTGGGATTACAAGCATATGCCACCATGCCATGCAAACAGGAGACTTTATACAAGGAAATGGAGCTGGACAGTGGCACACACCTATAATTCCAATGACTTGGGAGGCAGAGGCAGGAGGATCACAAGTTTGAGGCCAATCTAAGCAACTTAACAAGACACTCTAGCAATTTAGTGAGAACCTGTCTCAAAATTAAAATAAAAAGGGACTGGGAATGTGGCTTAGTGGTAAAGTGCCACTGGGTTCAATCATCATTAACAAAAATGAATATATAAGGAAATGGGGCATGTGAGCTGGACCTTTGAGGGTCTGTAGGAGTATGTATGACAAGCAGAGACCTAAAGCATGCTTCCAAGAAGGAAAATAGTATAGTAAGATCAAAAGGTTATAAAGTGCTGGTGTATTGAGGCCTGGGGAGGAACCTGAGGAAAGGTCTGATGGAAAGGCAGAGGTTCAAATGTGAAAATGCTTATATCCTCTGGCTGTCCTCCTGATATCCTATGGCCTGACAGGTCATATAAGCTGAGTGCAAGCTAGCCCAGCCCCCCTTTTCAGTAGCAAGGGTAGCAGGCCACAGGCTGAGGTAGACAGGCCCAGGTCTGGCCTCATAAGAAACTCCCATACCAACAGATGATCACCATTTCAGAGAAGTTCCTGAAGGTCATATCAAATCCCACAAGAGTCTGTGTTCCCCAGGGAGGCTGGGGTAAGACTTCTGCACCTGCAGCTTAAAGACAGATGCTCATCCCAGGAGCTGAGGGGAAGAACATGTGCCTCAGGTAATGGTGTTGCTGAGAAGCAGACCTTCTGTGGGGTATTCTGGAGTGTTCCCTTTGCCCCCTGGGCAGGGTTTGCTCCCAGCACACATACTCAGGAAGAACATACCCCATGCCACACCTGACCAAAAGGACTGGGAAACAGGATCATGATACAGAAGCTAGCAAGAGCTGGTACTGCATGAGAGCCACCTGGTAAACCCATCACACAGACCTTCCTGGTCCCCCTCTACCACAGATCCAAGACAGTTCTTGAATCCAGGTGACCCTCAGCTCTCTAGTCTGAGAAGGATTTAAGCAGAGCATTTCTCAGGTCCTGCCAGCCCTGGACTTCCAAACTTGTAGTTAAAGTTAGAAGAACACTCAGAAGCCAAGCCAAACCAACTGTCCGAGTAAGGTGATAGATGTACTAGCCCCAGTACTGCTGAGGGCCATTTAGCCCCCAATTTGTGCTCTGTAGCCAATAACCAGCTGCTCTCCAGCTAGGTTGTTATGAAGCCCTACAAGATACATCCCCTCTCCCCCAGGTGGACTGCTGGTGTGGAGGACACCCCATAAGAAGAGGAAGAAACCCAGGTTTTACCGTATACACAACCACTCCAGTATCTCCAAGCGGTACTTCGAGGGCCTACACAGCAGTTCCTGAATCGTCTTTGGTTCTGTGATATAAAGACCCTCAAGGAAGGGGCAGTTTAGGTCCTAAGCAAGGAAAAGGAAAATTGGAAGCTTTAGGAAATCTGTCACGGCAGGGTGGCAATGCACTTCTGCCAACCTGTGTTCTGTATCCCTTCCTGGGCCAGCAGCCTAGGGCAGGGTGAGCGTAGGTCGCCCCTGGACACTCCTCCTGATTTACTTCCATCTTCCCAGGAGTTGCAAGTCCTTCATCCTCATCTCTACGTATGCTGCAGCCTGCTGCCCCATCACGTTTAAGTGTGCCCCCTCTGGGCTCTGGTGGCAGCAGAACTAGACTAGAAATAATGGCTAAAGAGTTGATCTTTAGAAATACTCAGATCCCAGGTTCAGACTGGAAACAGGGAGGGGGAGCAAGAAGGAACACGAAGCCTGTTGTGGAAGGGGGGGGTGTGGGGAGGGCAAAGGGCCTAGGCAGCTCCCTGACCACGCTGCCCCCCAACTCTCTGACTTGACAGGTGACACTGAGTTCTACTTATCTGTCCCCCTGGACTATACAACTCCCTTGACGTCCGGGCCTGCATCTTCCGTCTCTGCACTTGCCTTGAGTTCCCAGACCTGGTCTTGCAGAGTTCCACACATGGCGCTGAACTCAACTTCACGGCTGGGCACGGGCCGTGAAGCCAGCAAGAGCCAAAGTCCAGGGAACCCCCAAAGAGAAGGGCAAATGGGCTACAAGCAGCCCCGCACTGCTGGTCAACAGAGTACAGCCCGGACCCACGACAGTGGCTGCGTGCGTCCCCGACTGAACCCTACCCATCCCCCCTCCCTGGGGTGGCTTGTTGGACCCGCAGCACCTTCAGCTTCCTGAACACCTCCATGGCTTCCTTGGACACGCTGTCTTCGCCTTTGTCTTCGTAGTATTCGTCCCCAGAGCCGCCACCAACACTAGCATCCTGCCCCGCCATGTTTCGCGCTTCGAGCAGAGCCCCGCCCACTCCCCCCAGCCTCACTCGCCCCCTCCCCCCAGCCTCACTCGCCCCAGCCTCACTCGCCAATCAGGCTGCCAATCACACCACACTTCGCACTCTCCCCGCCCCGTCGTCCGCGCACGGCGGAGGCGGGGCTCTCAGCGGTGTCTAGAGCATCTGTGGCCCCGCCCCTTTCCCACTGCATCTTCCTATTGGGCAGCGGTTCCGCAGCTGGCCGAGAGCGGATCAAGCGTGGGCATTAACACCACCCGCGCGGGGCGGGAGGCGGGACGGGACGGGCTGGAACTTGCTCCCTGTTGCAGGCCTGCTGGCATCGCCCCTAGTGGCAACCCGGGAGCAGAACGCCTAGAGGCGAGGCTCTTCCGGGAGAGGGCGCTCCTGCCACAGCTCTCCTTGGTCAGAGCTCTGAGGACCCTAGTCCCCAGGAGGACAAAGGGGAGCGACCTTGGGTGCAGAACGGAACTGAGACTTGAGCGACTCATCTCCCAGCGCGGGGTGCTGTCTCCTGTTTCTCTAGCTCACACTATAGTTAGAAGTTTTTAAAATTCAATCTGGCTCTGACACTAGCTCTGTAACTTTGGACCAGTTACCTAACCTCTCTGTGCCTCCTTGCCTTCGCCTAACCAGATAATGAGAAATGTTACCTCATTGAGTTGCTGTGAGAATGACCTAAGGTAATAATTCCTATGAAATAATAGGCCAAAAGCACCATATAAATGTTCACTATTATTTTGGTTTTTTGTTTGTTTGTTAGTGGAGATTGAAACTACAGGCATTTTACCACTGAACTATATCCTCAGACTTTTATTTTATTTTATTTTTTAAGACGGGGTCTCGCTAAGCTAAGTGTGTGAAGCTGACCTACGAATTTGTGATCCTCCTGCCTCAGCCTCCTGAGTGACTGGGATTACAGATGAGCACCCCCACACCAGGCAGATGTTTACTATTATTATGCTAGGCCCTGGCCAACCCTCCTCCCCAGTCTACTTTTGGCTTTCCTGGATGATCCTCTGGCTCCTTCCTGCCCTGTCCACTTACAACTTTCTGTGCATCTCTCAGGCCTGTGGAATCAGACTAGAGTGAAATTTGTCAGCCCCTCCTTCCCCAGAACTCCAAAGCCCTCAGATTGCTGAATGCCCCCTCACTGGACTCTGCTGACTGGACAAGGCAGGTAGGAGCTGAAGGATGGTGCAGGGAAGCTGGGAGACAGCAACAGGCAGTAGATAGCCAGCCACGGCCAGCAACTGTCCCTTATCTGTCAACTGCCCTGCATTCTCCTGGAGGGGGATCTTGGGGGGCAAGTCAAGCGGCAGGGAAGTCAGGGACCTGCTAATGGAAAACTGCAGTCATCCAAATGACAGGGGAAGGCTCAGATCTATCCTGGGAGGAAGGAGTGCACAGAATCTAGGGCTAACAGGAAGGAACCTCTGCCTGGCTTTGGGAGGTCCTGACCCAGGCCCAGCTTTTTGAATGATTTGAAATTTTAGGCTCTTCTGAGGTCATGGAGCCTCCAAACTTGAGCTGAAGGGACCTAGGGAGAGGAAGGCCCAAGAGCCCTGGCCCAGGGTCCCAGCAGCTGGCAAATCACCTTAAGGCACCCTTCCCCCCTCCACATGTTGGCTGCCTAGGGCCCTTTTGGAAGAAGAGAACTGTAAGAGGCTTTGGTTATGAAGATTTTTTTTTAATCCTTTTCCCCTCTCTTTCTGGTTTTGTTTTTCTTCCTTTCTCTTTAGAAAATTTCATTTCAATCACAGCCCCAGCTCAGACATTCAAATTCTTGTGGGTTTTTCTGTGGATCTTTCCTAGGACTGGGGAATTTGGCGGGAGAAAGCAAGGCAGTGTGGCTGCCTGCCCCCGCCCTCCCCATATCCTCTGCTCCTGAGGATAGGGAAGAAACCAGTCCCTGTGTATTCTGGAAGAAAATCCCCCTTCTCCACCCAGTTCCAGGGAGCCAGTACACTAAGCAGACCTTTTCCCGACTCAGCAGCTCTGTCTATGGCACAGGGTGGGGCATGGAGGTATTGACAGGGTCTGGAGGGGCCAAGACCATCCAGAGAGGTTATGGAGGCCATCCCCCTGCATGGAGAAGCTGCTGTCCAGCCCATGGAGATGCCTGCTAAAGACAGGTTGCCCCCCCCCCCCACCTTACTCAAGTCATGGCACCTCCTGGGCATTCTCCACTGGAAAGGCTGGAGGGAAACTGGTATGTGAACAGAAAGAGTGATGGGCCTCTCAGAGAGGGGAAAAGAAGGAGCCCAATAGTAAAAGCTTCTGGAAACAGACTCAAGCTCAACACAAGGAAGCACTACTCCCAGGAAGCACAGTCTACATACCAGCTAGCTGCCTCGAGAGGGAGGGAGCTCCCTGACTTGGGAGGTGTGTGCACCTGGGCTGGTAGGCCCATGGAGGGAGGGAGCAAGGTGGAGGGGTGGATGCTTGCAGTGGAGGAGAGAGTGGGCAGATCTCTAAGGGGCATTCCTGCCAGAGACTGTGGATTCTGTGAGGGAGGGCTGCATGAGTCAGGGGCCAAAAATGGGGCTGAAGGCCCCTTTGACCTGCAGGGGGAGGCTGAGCTTTGCAGGCAGCAGCAACCAACCTCCTGATTGAGGGGGGAACTTGGCCATGGGTCCCAGCAGGGCCTTAGCCACGTTTCAGTGCTTGGCAAACAGGCTGGAAAATGAGAGCAGTTGACAGGCACTGGCCCACAGTACTGGGGATGGGCTGGAGGGCGGTGGAAGCATGTGAGGCCCCTCTGTTGTGTGGTGGGCTCAGAAATGTATGGCCAAGCTGCCGGGTTGAGAATTAGCCTGAGTGCCTTGGAGCAGCAGATCACCACAGGAGGCTTGGAAGGCATCAGGACAAGAGAAAGTCATCAAGAAGTCGTCTATAGCAGCTGCCCTCACAGTCTCCTGGTGGAAGACACTGAATAGGAAGGTGAAGTCCTCTTCTGCTTCAGCCCTCAGGGGCTAGAGTTAGGCCTGATGAAGAGCTCCCCTCCTGAAGGTGAACAGGCTTCACAGTGCTGTGAGAGCCGAAGCAGCAGAGGCCTTGCACCACCCAGGCTCATCAACAGCTGGCCCAGAGCCAGGAATCCCAGGCAGCTTTCAAGGGGCCAGGAACCAAAGCTCCCTTTGCGTCCACTTTCCCCACCCCTGAAGTTCCCTAGTAAGACAGCAAGCACCAAATACAGGCTCATGGGGGAGCTTGTGGGGGAGGGGATTGAGAAAGAGAAAATACTTCAGTGGGAGAATTCAGATATGGGACGAGAAGTTGTGGGCCTGCCATCACTACAGCTTGGGAGTCTGGTGATTTCTGGTCCTAGCTCTGGATGAATAAGACTGTCAAGTCTGGAACTGACTAAAGTCTGGTGACTCTAGACTGTGTCCACCTTGGGAGTCTACTGGCACATGAGAATGGGAAGGCTGTCATTGGACTTTGACCTCCTTTTCCTGTCATATCTAGTATCTATGCTGGGGCAAAGGCAGCTCCCCAAGGGGAGTCCAAAGCAGTGCCACCCTAGTATCCTACAAGAATCTTTCGTAAGCCTCTTGCTTTAGGGCCCTAGCCCTAAAATTCAAATTCAAATTCAAATCTTGAATTGAGGGGTGCTCAGAGCCAAGGGGATGCCACCATCACCTGCCCTCACCTGGCTACAATTTCCTACAAGAGCACATTCAACAACCCAAGACTCCAGTGGGATCCCAGCCCACTCCCAGAGCCAGCATGGGTCCCTAGAGTCTGTCCACTTTTGGTCAGGATACAGACAAGCCTGGTTGTGTGGGCTCAGTGGAACCAGTGGATGGTATCTGGCCTGCATGCATCGGCCTGGGAAGAAAGGCAGGGGCAGGGGAAAGGTAACCACTAAGGTATTCATTCATTTTCTTGTCCCAGGCCCTGTAAATGGGGAGACAGGCTGGGCCTCTGGGTACCTTTGCATTTGAATGACCCCCCCACCCCCACCCCCGTCTTCACCCCACCCAGTACCCCACCACCCACACTCCCTCTTTGCCTTGGTCCTGGTGCATGATGGGGGTAGGGAGTGGGGGACATGCCCGGGACATCTGGCCGCATGTGTGCAGGGCTCAGCCTGGGCAGGAACGAAGGAAACGAAGGAAACGGCGGCGGGAGAGCCCCCTCCATGGGGAGACTCTTGGGTCTAGACGGCTTGGCAAGGCCAGCAGGGCTGAGTCACATGTGTCTGGAGCTGGAGACGCGGACGCCACGACTGGAACATGAACGTGCCCGCTCTGGAGAGCCAGGCCAGGCTGGGGGAAGGGGTACTCAGGCTCACCTTCTTATATCTAGTGCCCTCCCCAGCCCAGTCTGAGCCCCAGTTTGTGCCCGGCCTCTGTTCCTTGTCTGAGACTGCCTGAAGGAGCAGGGCAGGACAGCTTTCACTGGGAGTCAAGTGGAGCCCACGTTTTTTGGCAGGAACAAACTGGAATTTCTGTCCAGGAAGAAGGATGGGAAAGTGGTCCCCACCTGGACCACACACCAGCTCCATCAGCCCAGCCACACGGGCCAAGTGGAACCTTTGCCCCAAAGCCCCTCTTGTGTACGCTTCTGTCTCCAGGTCACTTTCCACTGGCACCCTCCCCAGGGATGCCCACACCCCAGCCGCTGAAGGCCTAACAGTCCATATGCCTCACTCACCTCCACCATGTCTCCAACCATCCCTGTGCCAGCAGAGGTTCTGTGTTCCTCTGTATCTGTTCTGTGTCCTCCCCCAACCAGGTCTCAGGCAGGGAAGCCCTAGGGTAGGTCTGAACCCAAATCTGCTGCTGTCTTTGGTGCTCACAAAACATCTGCCACAAAAGTTATTTAATTGGGACCAGATCTTCGGAGGTTTTGATGGCACTAAAATGAGATGTGTTTCCTCTTGGGAAGGATCATAGGCAACAGGAAGAGGGCATGGAAAGTTTGGATTTTTCTTCTCAAAACAGTAAGAAGAGAAAGGTCCCCCATACCTGTATTGCCATAAAACATAGCTACA